CTTCCTGTACTCTGTGGGGTCGGTCTCTCACTGAGGATTAACTCTCTCAGGTCGATAAAAGCCTGGATTCTCCTCCTTCTTGTCCTCTAGAGCCCATTTAAAAGACCCTTTTCTGGAGTATACTCCTTCAAAATGCTCAAATACTAATATTTAAGGCCTTTGAAATGCATTCTCAGTATGTTCACAACTCAGTACGTTTCATGGTAAACAAGTGTTTTGTTTAAAAAATTACAAAGTAACTAATAAGGGTACATATGCCCATTCTCAAATAATGCATAACTGATGCATGACATAATACGATTTTTTTTATCTTTCATTAATCGCTGATATGTTGGTTATGAGCAACTCACAACGGCAGTATGAGGCTTAAATGCCTTGCTCAAGGGAACCTCAATGATAAAAATGTATGAATTCATAATGCATCATCAACTTAATGACCCAATATTGATAATGACATTGCAATTAAAGGATTGTAGGAAAGACACACACTGGATCGTCACTTTATGAAAATATATTAGTTACAGTTGTGGACTTCACATTAGCTTAATAACAAGTGGCTTTCTAGCCCCTAACCCTAACAGCTAATTTGAATACATGGTAATGCATTACTTAAACTTTCATTAATAAATGCTCCAAAAAACATTCCAATTGGAGTATTAGTAATTCCACTTTATCATCACTAAATCATTTACTTAAAGTGGGCCACAGAAGTCTTGATACAATATTGATGAATGCAGGCAGTTCTGCATTAGGTAAGAATAAGGATAACCTAACCCTTGTATCCCCTTATTACTAAAACACATTCAATCGTGTATTGATTTCTAATGAAATGTTGAAAATACATTGATACAAGTGTATGAATTTATTTATAAACTTATCCCTTCTTCTTCTTCTATACAGTACAAACACATAATTTTTTTTTGATAAATATGCTTGATTATAATTAACTGAAAGTGGCAGTTGAGTGAAAAGGGCCATCTTCATCTCTACAACTGAGTACCTTTTTAACATTTTTTGAGTGATAATAATCTAAGAAATGGCATGAAAGTGTACAATATGGTCAAGGCCCTTTAATTTTCCCAGGCACCATATTAACTAATGGCAAAAAGAGGTGACTGGCCCAGATGACAGACAGCGCACATTACTGCAAATAATTCTTTGCTCAGTTTGCCGTAGGCTCACCTGGTTCTGACTCTGAGGTTGGATTTGTTTATTTTCTACAAGCATCTAAACCTATTAGAGAATGTAAGCCTCTTTCATCTGTCTTCAGCCATTGAATTGGAATGAATTCACAGTGGCAAACAAAATAGGTGTTTCCACTGTAGCTCCAGCTCCATGCTTACATGTTGTTTACGCCAAATTCTGGTCCTATCATCTGAATGTCAAAACAGAAATCGAGACGAGGCAACCTTTTCCCAGTCTTCTATTGTCCAATTTTGGTGAGCCCGTGCCAATTGTAGCCTCATTTTCCTGTTCTTAGCTGACAAGGGTGGAATCTGGTGTAGTCCTCTGCTGCTGTAGCCCATCTTCTTCAAGGTTTGATGTGTAATGCGTGCAGGTATAGTTATACACACATACACAAATTTGCACCAGAGACATTTACAGTACAACTACAGATCAGTAACTCGTGGACAGTAAAGCAGCTCGAGTAGAGAAACTGCCGCTTGACTGCTTTGCCTCAGGGTGTTTTTATTGTAATTGGTGAGGGAGCCAAAGGTTTTTGTAGCCACTCGAGGGATTTAAACATGTGACATTTTGGTCACAAGCTCATTTCTCTCAACGTTACCCTCCTGTCACCCCATTTACGCCCTGTGGCATAGATAGGCAAAAACCCATTACAAGATGTTGCAGATAGGATTACCACCTTTGTGATGTGGAGCACTTTGAATGTTTTAAAAAGTCATTGGTTTTACATCAAACTAGAGAGTATAACCATGTGAAACGGGGTTTTCACCATCATTAGGCAGTAGGGAAAGCCTGCTTGATTCTCCATATAAAAGTGTGACATTGAAAGAGACAACCTTGTTTTACAAAGAGGTTTTTAACAGCACACAAAATGTACTGGAAGTGTAACCAGAGTATGCCACTAAACATAAATCAGCCTCCACTTGCCAGTAGTTTTTTTTCTTTTGCAGGTACTAGTTTTGCTAAACACAGACAAACAAATAAACAAGGTGTGTTTACTAATTTAATAATAAACTGTTCAGATGGATCCGCTCTCAGCTCTTCTCTTTCCACGATACCCATGTCAGTTTTTTCTTCTTTTGCCGAACAGGACCTGCTATATTACATGATTTAAAACGGTAACACTTTACAATATAGTACACTGAATTGTCAGTAGTTACTAAGAAATGAGTGAGGAATGAATCAGAATAACCTGAAAATTGAAAGCAGGCTACTTCTTGAGTGTTGGGTGGTTTGGTGATGCTCAAGTAACAAATGAAATTGAGTTGATGGCACTGAACCAAACAATAGGGCCTATATACAGTATGTGACTAAAACTAAAACAAGGTGCTGAGAGGCTAACCGTAACACATTCCATGGAGCAGCAGAGGAGGGTAATGGGAAACCCGTTTGACTTTACATTCATTTGATTCTGTTTCAGTATAAAACAATATATTTTTTGGCCAATAGGCTTCAAACTATCACTAAAAATTGTCGACCTCTCCTAAAAGATTGTAGATTGTAGACACCTCTGACGTGGCAAGTTTAATTTTCCCAGTGAACTGACGCACTTTGGGGTGAATATCATTTTCATTTTTCTTTTTTTTTATTGCTAGCTGTGGGGGAATCTTAGTGGGCTTATTTCAGTAACAGGTGAAGTATGGCGCAAGTACAGGTTACACTTGGAGTCTCTAGTGGACCCCAGAAGTAGAAGCTCCCTGCACTGCCTCTGTCTCTCTCCCTGGCAGAACTGAAAGACACTATGGCTTAATGTCAAGGCTAGCAAATAACTGTGTTTTCTTGGAGTCTTGTACGTTTACAGACTCACTGTCACCAACTGAAATGCAAATTCATGACACCTTTAGATAGCAACACGACTTAGGTAATGCAGTGTGGTAATGGAGTCTAAACATCCAGCAGACTGTTAATAATGACCTTCTACAGAAGACCATAGACACTAAGGGGAAAGCAGAGAGATAAATAATGTGGACCAAGAAGGTTTTCTTCAGATTTTGGTGTTGACAATGTATGTGTTCACACTTTTTACGCTGGCACTGTAATTTCCTTGGCCGAGTTTCATTAAACATGCAGTGTAAGTCATCCTGAGTTTCTGAGGCCGTCTTCATCACACCTGGCACTTGGCTCACTTTATTGCCACAACAGTAACGACTGGCCCATAAAGCAGGGGCAGCAGCCCATTGGTTTCATTTTCTATGACACTAGGCTGGCTCAATCACATCTCTTACCCCCCCCCCCCCCCCCCCAAGAAACCAAACCTCTGTGAGAAGGCAGGGTACTGAGATGTTATAATAAAACATAAAAAAAAAATAATAATAAAGCTGCTAAAGCAGCAACAGCACTAGCAATTACCCACCATTATGCAGCAAGAGGCCTCTGGCGGGTAGAGGAGCAGGAAGAGGAGCAGTGTGACAGGGAAGCCGAGGAACAGAGTGAGCAGGAGGAGGGAGTTTAAGCACTAAGCAGAGCTTAGCATTCTGGGTAACATGGACTCTCAGGGAGGGCACAGGGAGTTAGTGGGTGTGCCATGCCATGATGACGATGATGAATGATGATTCATTCAATTAATAACAACAGGAAACAAGTTATTTTTACCGATGTGGAAACTATTATGATACAGTAAAGATTACTGTTTTTACTATCTGTGGGGCATACTTAAATTGTATTAAGGAGTCAGTCAAGAGTGAGTGAGTCCACTGGTAACCTTGTCCACAGCACTTACTACACCACTTTGTAGTGGTTTTGGGAAATAGTACAGTATGCATATTTTAGAATGGTGTTCAGGTGGGTGGTGTTCAACCAATTGTGAGCAGTGACCGGTCTGGGCCAAAAATTAAAAAAATGCCAGAGACAAAATTTTGTCCGAAGTCCAGCCTTGCAGCCACCACTGTCATTTAAAAAGTGAAAGCTCAGCCAATGCCTGTTACAAAGTCTCTGTACTTTTGTGTAGTAACTTCTAACTAACTGTGTAGGATTTCCTGGTTTGCATACAGTTTGAGAAAAGTGTCTTATGTGTGTCCAAGTAACAAAATAATCTGCATTTCATTTTCATCTTCTATTTTTTAATTGTGCAGACAGTACACACTGTTATACCAGAACCTGTCTGGTATAACTGTCACTGTGGGTGTTTTTCTTTACTCACTCTCTCGAAGCCTCCTCTTAGATGATTGATCTCTCTTTTCTCTTCTGCTTATTCCTACCTTTTATTCTCTGCATCAGTTGTTCAATACTGTACTATGTAGTGTGTGTGTGTGTGTGTGTGTGTGTGTGTGTGTGTGTGCCCCTTGCTCCTACTGCTCTGCCCTTTTTTGTATTTCGAAACTGCTGGGGTACAATCGATCTCTGTCTGGCAACAGGATTTTTTCCCCCCTCTGCAGTTGCATTTTGGGTCATCCTGTACAGTACTTTTCCTGTTAGATCAGTCATAGTAAAATGACACAGTGCCTTGGGGAAGATATGGGCGATATGAGAGCTGGGGGGCAGAGACATGAATTGCCTTTGGTTTACTGATTTGTGTGCACAGAGAAAATTTGAAACACAACCTTATGAATGCACAATGGCATTAACACACACACACAGGTATTAACACACACACACATTATTGTAAAACAAACTCCCATGCTCACTTTTGAATAATGTCATCACTTACTGTACATGCGAAATCATGTAACCGCATCTGTAAACCACCAATTTTGTACAACAGTTGCAAAGCAAAAGATAAAAACATCTTAGTTATTTTCCATGTAACCAGAGAGAAAGAGATTTGCATTTGTAATAATATCTTCTCTCTTCTTTCCCCGTGTCCCCCCAAACCCCAGCTCCCCCAGTGATCCGTCTGTCTGTGAACGACACGGTGGTGGTGGATCCCGGGCAGGATGTGCTCTTAACTTGTGAGGTGACCGCAGGTTTCCCCCTCCCCACTGTGATGTGGTCACGTTACCCAGGCCCCCTTCCCCTCAGCGCCCAAGTTCGAGGGGCAACCCTGATTTTGCGGGCTGTCACACCGGCTGACGCAGGCTTCTACAGCTGCACAGCTGTCAACAATGTGGGCAACCCTGCTCGCAAGAACGTCAATGTCATTGTCAGAAGTAAGTAATGCGTAGGTGTGTTTGTTCCCAGAGGACAGAGGGACTGTCTTTGGGAGATTTCTTGGTTAACAGGGGTATTTTGAGAATTATAGTATGTATTTGTGTGCATTATTTTCTTTCCTTTTGATAGCATTCAGATTTTTAAAAATATTTTTGACAAAACAAAGACACATATGCGATATATTTTTCTTTATTATTAAAATGTTTGATTACTTTATTCTTCATTTTCATCAGTTAAGTCCATGCCTATTTCAATAAAATGTTTAAAGCTGAATTTATCTACCTTACTGAAAGTGCCATCTGTCCAGTCCTTGCTAGCTTGATTTATTAACTATAATGTGTGGTTGTGTGCAATTGTATTCATTCGTGCGTGTACTATATGTGTTTGTGTTGCGTGTGACACGTGAGCAGTTGCTCCCTCATTATGGAAGGATGATGTGAATCTTGTCAGAATAGGCGGGTTAAGTATTTCTCTTTTTCTAATTCCCCTGCCGTTAAAACAGAAGGCTTCTATTCTCCCTCCCCTCCAGCTAGTTTTAGTCCCTTTAATCATCTTTATTCACTCCAATTAGTTAGACTGGAGTGGAAGCAATTAGCAACAGTCTCTTCAGTTAGTTAACACTGTAGAGAACGTATGCTGGATGGATTTCTCCTGTTAGCTTAATGGGCCTGAACGCATTGTCACACCAGCACAGGTGGCAAGACGCTGAATCACACACACATACACAGACACACAGGTGCGTGTGTTCAGTGAATGCATTGAGATAGAAGTTTGCAGCTAGGCAGGCGACACAGTCGCACATGCACTTGGATGCACACACAGCCACTGGCTCCCACATACCATGTACACACAAGATTGTATCCACACTAACCAGGTAAAGTTGCAGGATCACGTTAACCATATGGCCACGGCTTTATCTCCATGGCATCCCAAACATCTTGTTAACAAGCTCGAAAAGGAGTTTAAATCAAGCTCTCCGCTCCTCCTAGCAGCCTGTCTCTCCCCTTAGTGGGAAAACAGAGAGCTGTTTTGTATTCAACATGGAAATCTGTTGGGGAAACGCAGCCTTTGAAACTGAAAATTAAATGTGACAGTGTGAGAGTTACTCTTTGTCCTTGATTTTGTTCCCCCCCCGTTATTTTATTCTGTATATAGCTCCTTTGTCTCTCCCTCCCTCACAATTTGCTTCTTCCTCTCTCTCGCACTTTCTGTCCTCTTCAATTTCCATTTTCTTTTGGTTTCTTTTTGTCATGCTGCCCCCTCCTTTTGCCTCACACACAATGTCACACACTCTACACATGCTTTATTAACCATCTTCCCCCTCCTCCATCCATGTTTTTTTCTATTAATTTTTTTACTCTCCCCTTCTCCCTCACTCACACTACTATATCAATCCCTTCTTTTTGATGTCATTCCATTTATTTTGTCAAATTTAAATTAATTTCTATTTAACAAACTTAAACAAACTTTATTGACATGACATACATGAATATATGGACCCAAAGTAATTTCAAAACAAAAACAAAGTTTATGTAGCAGGTAAGAGATTAATAAACATATAATAATCCTACAGTAGAAGGACACACATTTTCATCGATGCTGTGCACCACTCATACATAATTCATCTGTCACCTCAGTGCAATGCGACCTCAGTTAGGATTTTCTGGTAGCTTTTTTTTTTTTTTTACCTTGGCAGAAAAACAGTCAGGAGATTATCCTTTTTTTATACTTGCACACACATTTTTCAAATGCATGTATTTGTACTATTTGCTAAGATTATAGATATTGGGTGTTAGTATATTATATGTAGAAGAAAATATCCCAAAGAATATCCACAAAATGCTGTTTTTCTTTATTAATTCTTGAATTCATTCTGCTCTTTTCTCAGTCATTTATTAGTGAACATTAAAACTATTTTGCTGGTGACATCCCTCCCCCATACATTGTTTTTAAGACTTCAACACAGCCAACCTCTCGCACTGTACCATCTATTTAACCCTTCCTTCTGTCTTCTTCACCCCAATACCACCACCGCACTCAGCAATGAGCAACCTGACCTTCCAGATTACACCAGACTCCAACAAGGACAGCGAGACCATCCAAATGGGTCGGGACCTCAAGCTGTCGTGCCACGTTGATGCCACCCCACAGGACAAGGTCAACTACACCTGGTACAAGAACGGTGCACTTGTCTTCAACTCAGATAGCGTGATCTTGCTGCGCAGTGACCCAGACATGGCACCTGGCACCAGTAGCTTGGAGATTGTGGACATGAAGTTCAGAGACTTGGCTACCTACAGCTGTGTGGCGAACTTTCCAGGTAGTAGGGTGCCGGAGCTCCGTGTGGATGTCAACATCTCTCAGAACAGCGGTGAGAGTTTCCTTTCCTTTTTTATTTCATATCTGTGTCAGAATGAGACAAATTTCCATTTTCTGAAAGTGAAATAGCTAACTTAAACTGTCAAGAGGGAAAAGTCTTTTCATGGACCAATACATTTTTCTCAATTTTAACCACAAACAATAACAAATACCAACATATTGATGGATTGTAAATAAATGCATGTATGTAACTGCTGATCAGTAGCATCACTCAAAAGTGTATTTGGGGGCAAATATACTGGTTAGATGCTCATAGTTTACCTCTGTCTTTCATCTCGGTGGTATCTTTCACACCATTTTGCCCCGTCCCTCTCAACTATTTCCTCTCTTCTCACTCTTTCTTTTTACAGTGCTGGACTCTATATGTGCATACTGTATACAGGACATACTGTATACAATATACAGTATAGCGCTTTGTGGTTTGGTCAGCGTGACTTTCTAGTTTTGTGTTAGGAAAGAGAGAAACAGTAACTAGGTATACCAAGCAACAGGGCAAGGAAAGGGTCAGATTGACACTGCAGTCCACACACACACACACACATATACACTACACACTTTGAATTATATTTTTGTATTTGAACAGATTATTATTGCAGATTGAATATGATTTTTTCTTCAACCAACATTGTAGTTTGAAAGGGACAACCTTAATACAGTATTTCTTCAGACAGTATCTACACCTTTCCCCCTTTCTCTGTCTCTGTATGCACATCACCCCCCTTGTTGGTACTACACAAAGAATTTGAGAATTATAGTGATGTATAACTGTCTCTGTGTGCATTGTGGTGTGTGGTTAACCATAATGTTAGCACTTAATGCTGAGCAGTAATCTTTTTAATGTTCCTATGTTGCATTAAAACTGTTTAATTGTCCAATAAAATTATCCTTGTAAATGACAGTTTCTTTCATTTCCTTTTTATTCCCCGTCTGTCTCTGTTATTCACTTTCTATTTTCACACCATCTGTAATTTTTACGTCATGTCCACTTCCTAACTTGTTATATAATACCATATACTGTAACCCTTCTTTTATATTTAAGCATGTATTCATATCCCCACATAATCTAGAAAGGTTAAAGTGAAAACAAATATTCATGAAAACTTTTGTCAAGATTTTTCCTTTAGTTTACCTACAAAAGCACTTATATTTTAATAATATGAAATTGTATTCTACTCACCTATCTAACTTTTTAGTAATTATTTACAAGCTATATATACATCAACATTTCCTTTATCTTTTATTGTAATAAAATTGTATATTTTAAAAACATTAATTATGTTTGCTTCAATCTACATAGAAGTGAGAAAATAAAACTTAAACCTTTTCTTAATATTCCTTTACCTCTTTCTCTGCCCTTCCCTTCCCTCCAGTTTCTCCTCCAGTGCTGCTGGTTCCACCAGGAGGTCAGGTGGTCAGTGTGAGAGAGGGAGGTAACGCTGAGCTGGTGTGCTTGGTGGCAGATGGCAAACCCCGTCCACCTATACTGTGGTCACGGACAGAAAAGGACCTGCTGATGCCATCAGGGAAGACCATGGTGGAGACACCTGATGGCCGCTTGAGGCTTAAGAACGTCAGCCGGGATATGATGGGACTGTACCGGTGCCAGACTGCACCTTACAACGGACTTAACATCAAACGCAGAGAGGCACAGGTCCAACTTAATGTGCAGTGTAAGTGTGGATCAGCTTATGCTCACCCAAGAGCTCAACCTACAACAACATGAAACACCACTGTTTGTAGACCAGAATACAGCGCTCCCTTTTGAGAGTACATGTATCATCTCTTGGAGTTCAGTTTGTCCAGATTGGTTGTGAGTGCTTTCAGATACTAGCATTGCTGCATCGTCTACTAACATAAGACCGGATAATATCAAACTTTAATAATCCCTAGGCAACAGTAGCATCAAAAAGTAGTAGTAGTAATTTTAGCAGTACATAGAAAAATTTTAAGTATTTATTTATTGCTATTGTTGTTGTATACGAGAGATCCATTAAAACACTGCACTTTTCTTATGCCCCACCACCAGTAATGGCATAATCTTCACACTCTGCGCAAAACTCTGTACCCTCAAGTCAGATAAGGAAATGTAAAGAGTGTAAAAAGGGAGAGTTAAAGGAAATGAGGACACACCACTAAAGCTTAAAGGCAGTATTCTCTAAACCTACCCCTTCCCCTTTGTGAGCACTCCAGTGGGGTCTATCATTATAAAACTCCCAGAGGATGGGCTTTGAGAAAGGAACAGTATCTGTCTTGCTAAAGTAACACATCATTTCAACACCTTTTCCCTTCCCATGAGATTACCTACTTTTACTTACTTCTGCAATGCCTGAATTGTGCCGGAACTCATGGCATCAAGCAATGGCACATCTGACTATTGCTCATCTACCTGCCCACCGTTGAAACTGAACAGCGTGAGAGACTGTAACATGAAAAACTTGATTTTGAATTTTTTCTGCAAACTATAAAGTAATTCTCCTCATTTATCTAATGTGCTGGTTTTGAGCATTTCTCCAACTTTTCCATGAAATTTTCTTTCTTTTATAGAATTGTATTTTATTTTAGCTTCCAGGAAAACAGTGTATGTATCAGTAGCAGGAGGTTACAAATAAAAACTCCATCCAAGAACACTATCACAAATGCATGAAAATGTCTCCCCCTTCTATAAACTAACGCTGGATGTGCTCATTGTAATGGCACACCAGGAGGGCAAAATCAGTTCACCATATAGAAGGTGTCAGTGTGTGTGTTGGGGGGTTCAATGGCTCCTTAGACTCCCGACTTTCGGCGCCCATGCTGTATAGATTGCAGCCTGATTTCGTACATAGCAGCATTTCATTGCATTGGTAAGTGCTTGGTTTAACTCAGTAAATTTATATTAACACAAATTCAGTATTCAATACACCCATTTCAGCACGCTCCCAGTGTGCCATGTGTACAGGGTCAAGTTAAAAGGTTACTGTGAATTGAAGTGATGAAATCTACAAGCTAGAAAATGCAACAAGAGTACATGTAAAACACAAAATCATGCACTAGTAGCTCAAAAAGAGATGAAAAATGAATGGGCCTGTAATTATCAAGCAACTTCAAAAATTCGTAGATTGAGTTATATTTTGGTCTGACTTTTAGCCACAAGTTTATTAAATAAAGTCAATCTATCTGGATAAATACATTTTCTCTGGGCTTAAACTCCTTCACGTTATGTAAATATGCTCATTTTTGTTAGGGGCCAAAGTCATTGCTGATGTAGCTGCATTCATTTGATGCCAATCAAGCAAAACAGCAAGATAGGGACCTGTTTATTTATATTGGTGGAGCAATTAAAATTACACCCTGGAACAGCCACTATAAGTTTCTGTTGAATTTTAAGGAAAAAAGGTTAAGCTTGAAAGAAGAACCAACTGTGTGTTTGTCTGAGAAACACACCAAAATCAGTACCCTCTCCTCTCTCCTCTCCTCCCCTCTCTTCAAGAAGGATTTACTGAGTTTGCTAATGCAGGCGGGGTGGAAGGGCAACCCTGTGAGCTCTGCTGTCCACACTGGCCAAGTCTGATTAATGGACCAGGTGGCCACCCCACTCTAGACAGAGAAAGAAACAGAGAGATGACACAGATACATGAGAGAGAGAAAGAGAAACAGGGTTAAGAGAGAGCTGCTTGAAACAGGGAAGGAGGGTTAGGGGTGGTGGACAAAGTGAGGAGGGCATGGGCAGGTGTTAATAAAAAAAATAAAGTGATTTGGGAGGTTAGAAGAGAAAAAGAGAGAAATGGGTTGGCAGATAGAGAAACACTATAAACAAGTAGACATTACAGTTTAGCTACAGCCAACAGAAAGTGCGGGAAAAAAGATTCCTCTCTTCTCTCCCACTGCCCTTCAGCCTGCTCCCATCTTATTTCATTTGTTTATTTTATCATGTTTGTCTTGTCCCCCTCCATTTAGCATTATTGACTGATGTTAGGGAAGGATGCCATCATTTTTTATGGCAGATGAAATTAAGTGGATACGCAGATTCTTGCCACTCTTGCCTCTTTTCTTCTTTCTTTTTTTCCTTCTTTTCTTGCCCACTTTCCCTTCCGCAAGAGGTGGCTGTTCTTCCTCATTGCCATTCTCATCATCATCAATCAGCTAACTGCTGGCCATGAGAGAGGACCTCCCTCTGTCTTGTCATTCCCTTTATGCATCCTGCATTCTCTCATTCTCTCCCCGCCTCCTGTACTCAATCATCGACTTCTCTCACTTTCACACCACACTTTCCCTATCATTTGTCTTCTTCATTGTCGTCGTCTTTAAGAGCTGTTTCTCTCTCCCTTCATCCCACCTTATGCTCCACTCACCTCCTCCCTCTCTCGGTCTCATGTAAATTGATTTTCTCTTTGTGTTCTATAAATGTTTGGTTTGGTCGGTGTTGCATTCCTGGATGGAATCCATTTTGCATCAAATAAGACATATAGCGATGGTGTGTTTACATGGATCATGGTCTTCCGACTACAAAGTAGTGCCGTGTTGTGCTGTGAGTCCCGAATGAGTGGCAAATTAATGCACAAACATTGCTCCAGAGAATGTGAAAAGTTGGGTTAGAAATTGAAGTAACCCCACAACTTGAAAAAGTGAAACCTACTGCTAACAAACTTAGAAAATTATTAAAATGAAAACTGAAGGCCAGGTAAGGAAGTGTAATAACTTGTCTACCAAATTCCACTGGGGATTGATTTATTTGTACTCACAAACCACCCCACATCTCCCTCCTTTCGCCATCACTCCACAGTTTGACTGCTTTTTAGTTACCCTTGCCAGCTGTTTCCAAAGTCAGATAGCCATCAGTATGCATATGTGTGTCTGTCTATAAGCAGGAGCAGGCTATGTGACCATACACTAATTAGTCCATAGGATTACAGTATGACCTTTGACCGCTCCCCCATCCCTCAGCTGTCTCATACTGCGCTGTTGTGTCTGCAGGAAATGTAGGTAACACAGTCATTTCAAGAGGTCAAAAGACACCCAGCGGTAAATGACAACTTAGATTCCACAAGTCAGAAATCGCAAAGCTGAATATCTGCTGCATCCACATGCTGGGAGTCTAGACTAAAAAAAAAAAACAGGAAACACCGAAGTGGAGAAGTTAAATGTTATGGTGGTTTCCAGTCCTTTTTGGTATGCAGGTGCTTACTCGTGTTTCTCTGACTGGAGTGCAAGAACAGAATAGTAACTGTGATTCCAAGCATGGATTTGGTTTGGGTGTGTATACCCGTACCTATAGCACAAAATCAACAGTTCACTAACAAGGACCGTTCCAATATGAGATATAAAAACAGTAATGAATAGTATTTATGACGGAGAGGTCATAAACAAGACAAACGAGAACGAGAGGGGTTAGATGGACTTATATACACATGTGCAGTTGATTGGGTTAGGAAGGCACAGGTGGAGGAATTGGATGGGGCACAGGTGGTTGAATTAGTGTGAGAGAGAGGTGTGGTCCTGTTCCTGAATTTTAGTTATATAACTCCATTAAAAGCTTTACTCACAGAGAGAATGTTGAGATGTGTTTTCATAAGCTTCAGATTTCAAAAGAAGATTCAAGCTTGGCAGTGTTAACTAAGCAGTATGTTATAGGTTACTGTTGTTGTTGTTGTTGTTTTACTTTAACCATGTAAAGATATGGAATCCATAATAATAATAAAGCCAATAAAATACACAAGAGTCAATACAACATAAAATAAAAAAAGGCAAGGATTAAGTAATGGCCATAAAGCATTCTAATAAAAAGCCAATCAAAATAATTTCACAGATCACTGTGATTATGGAACTTCCTTGCTGAATGTCTTTCTGTTATTATTTTCATTTCTCCTGAGATTGTTGATTCTGCCCAGATATTTCCACATTGTATTAAGCACAATAAGAGCATCTCTCCATTTCCCTCGCCTTCCCTTCTGCTTTTGTTATCTCTGTGTGTCTCTGTCTCTTTTTCTCCTCTTTGTGTAGCTCATGTGTAACCCTATCTGTCTAAATTACAGGCATAACATAGATTAGACTATAATTACAAATCTGTGTCTGATAAACTTGATTTAGAAGGGACTCTAGTCATGCCGCCTTACCTCTAGGGGCCTTAACACCAGATCTCATCACCGTTAGTACGACAATACCACCATTAGCATCTTGTCTATTATCTACATGATTAGCCAGGGGTGAACTAGCTGGCTGGTGATTTGTGGCAGAGTAATTTGGCTGTGTTGTGTCTTGGCTGACCCGAGGGCAACAGCAGCTAGTCAGTCATTAACCGCAGAGCCACACATTGTTGCTGACAGGTTAATTACAGCTGGTTAGGATAGGTTAGCAGCAGGGATGGGATCTTGCCTCATAAAAATGCCTCATCCCCTGTGGGAAAAACAGTTGCTTTCTGTTGGATCAAAACAATTTTTTTTCTGATGCTGTGAGAAAATATACAGTAGAGAACAAAAGAGACATGGTTGATAGTGATGTAAGTACACCACTGTAGTCCATTTTGCATTTTCCACATACTCTAAGCTCAGTCTCTAAGCCTAAAATGTATTCTTAAACTTTTCTGGTTCAGTTTATCTCCGTCTCATCCTTTATGATGGAAATAGATTTAAAAAAGGAAAACAATTAGGGACAGTATTTTGTTTTACATGGATTCACCTCATAACTACGCTTAATAACAAAGTGTCCCTAATATTTTGTGCAGTGTATGCATGTGAGAAAAGCTGTAGTAATTTTGCAGCACAAAAGGGGATAATGTGCTGAATCCAAGAAAGCAGAGAATTACAAAGGCTTCTGAAGAAGTACAAGGCAGTAAACTGATTTTAGGTGTTTAACTGAGTAAATTCAACCTCTGAGAAAAAAGTTATGCATATGTCCCTATTGGCCTCCTATTGTGTAATTTAAAAAAAGCTTAAATTTGCTACATTATTACACTTTTAAGACATCTGCATTGTTGATAACAAATGCCTTTAATATACAAACCCTGAAAAGCACAAAACAAATATTAAAGGGACTATATGTAAGTTTTTCAATGAAATTAATCAAATTTTCATTACATTATTGTCAATGGGCTCAAAACTCACTTAGAAATGAAGGACACGCCTGTTTTCACCGTTGCTTGCATCAGCCACTATTCTGCTTTGAATGTGAGGTCACCGGGTTGGATTCTTCCCTGTGCGCGCTCCCCAGCCTCTCTCGTACTACAGTGACAACACGACAGCTAATGACATGCAGTCCACTAACACCATAAAACAACCGGCTCACAGCAAAACACAGGCTCCACGTAAGGATCCAAAACAACAATAAAGGTTTATGTGCTGAAGCCCATCAGACCAAACAGGTTCAGATGATGTCGAGTAAAAACAAAGTGAGCATTAGTAAAGATGGAGAAACACAGAAAGTCAAAATATCCTGAGTGCCACTGTTGATTTAGCCTGCAGAAAGGATATATATATAGCGATTTGTTTACTAGCGTTAGCCTATAGTGATGCAGCCAGGAGCAGACAGCTAATGCTGCAGTAGCTCGGACCTGCCGCTGTTTGCTTCGTAACATTCAGTTTATGTTTATTGTGGTTTTTATATACAGTCTATGGGTTTTACCAATAACGTTACTCAGGTACACAGCTTCTCCACCTCATGCACTGTAACTAACTTGACCCACATAACATAAAACACTGCAACAAAACGGCCACAACAACCCAGAGGAAGAGCCATCCGCTATCACTAGTTGCAGTAAAGTTACTTACTGCGGTCTAACTGTTATAAAGTGTGACACAATCGCATTATAATATCCATTCCTGCTCAATAACCGTTTCATTATCACCCAATATTGCTGAGCATCCGGAGACAGATTCACAGATAGTAAAGATAGTTACTGAAAAGCAGCAGGCGAGCTAACAATGTAGTACGTCGGCTAAATGCAGTAAATGTAACGTTATCATGTAACGAGCATGAATTAGTTCAACCTGCAGCTGATAAAACTATTACTGTAACGTTGCAGTGGGAGTTTACCTGAGTTTCCAGCTCTGTCTGTTCTCCCTGTCAGATAGCCGCTGTCACTCTGCCTTTTTTCGGGAGTATTGTGCCAATATGCGGCTCGCTGCGCTGAATGAAAGGTACGGCGCTGGTGTTGATCTGCCTCTGAGAAGGGAACATCGAAGTAACAGAGCCTGAACATGTCTGAAGAAAAGCCACGGCCAGCATGCTGGTGTTCCTGCGTTTATTGTGGTATTTCTGTATGAAAGTGGTTGTGTTTCGGTTTATGCTCGCTCATGAGTTCAAGCGAGCACGCGTCGAGCACACACCTGGTTGCAATCTTAGAACCGCACCGCTAGTGGTGAAAAAACTACATAATGCCCCTTTAAAATTTGATAGTCTACAAATGTATTGATTAGTATTTGTGTACACCAAAACATTTCCTTTCTGATATACAGATGCAGCTATGTAAAAGTTACACCATACTAAACAAATTCTACAGGAAAAGTAATACAAATGAAAGTTTAATTTATTTAGGTGATTAAATTATTGATGTAGATAGTAATGAAGTATGTCTTCTTTTTAGTATTATTGACTGAATATTTCCATAATTGCATTTTTTCTGTTCATGTCCAGGCAATTAAAAGTGGCAAGAATGACATGATGTGCATGATGTTTGTATGCAACAAAGAAACAAACACAGGCATTGCTGTTAAGTTATTGGTTGCAGTTAAGACTGCAGAGATAGTTAATGGACAATGTGTACATACATACATATGACATGATTTTGCTGCTGCACCCCTCACCCTTTTGTTAATTGACATAGCAGGTTACACAATGTTTAAAAACTTTAACATATGTTTTGACTGGACTAAAAGTCACAGTTCTGTTGTCTTTGCAGATCCTCCTATGCTGGACCCAGTTTTCCAGGATGTGCGTTCTAGGAACTATCAGATGGTGACCCTGAGGTGTACAGTCCTGCGATCAAACCCACCACGCCTGACCGACATCCGCTGGTTCCGAAATGGCGACTCCATCCGCATGCCCATGCCAGATCTGAAGGAGACGCCAGAACTAAAGTTTAAACTTGAACCCACCAACAATGGCTCTTATGAGTGCAGAGTCAGCAATAGTGCAGGAACATCAACATGCACATTTAATGTCTCAGGTGAGTGAACAGACATGAGACAGTGCTTTGTTATCCAGTTGGGTAATATAATTTATCTTGTGTTCATCCATTTTATATTCACGGGGCAGTTATCTTCTTCAGCATCATTAATCTGTGACATTTGCCCCCCCACCCCCACCTGCACAGCACAACCCTACAATGCTGAGTTCTACTACGACACACCCAATCCAGTCCGAATTCTGAAAGGAAACAACTATTCTTACAACGTGCAGTGGACTCAAAAAGATCCTGAGGCCACAGACCGTATCATAGGCTACTGGGTTAATGTCCAAAAGGTAAAGTACTCCTACATACATACTTACAATTATACATTTTAAGACACACATACACACACACACAAACAAACAAACCTGTGAAACCACGGGTACTCATGCACTATGCATACTATGCACACATACTTTGATGTACTGGACTTAAGCTTTGGTATATGCATTTGATCTAGAGAAGAGGCAGGTACATGCCTTGCCAAACAGAAACTCACTGACTTTGTTAAGTACTCATGGGACTGACATTGATCAGTCTGGCTTAAACCATGGCAAACTTTGGTCACATGCTTTTGTTTGCACGTTTGGTATTACCTTGACTGAACAGGCTCATGACTTGCGTAGCCAAGAACACACATACACAAATGTCCGTATATATTGAAGCGTGCATGATAAGTAAACATGGGGCTTTATGAGCTTGGGGAGTGTCAGGCATGTGCAGTCAATCAATGGAGACCTGCACTGAATTTCAACCATGCCAGGGCCACTTCTCCTCTCCTCTCCTCTCCTCTCCCCTCTGACCCTACATTGCATCATTTATCTTTTGAAATGGCTAAAGACAGTAACATTTGCAAATCACTTGTAATATTACATATCACTAAGCGCTATTGGTGATTTATTTGAAGACGGTGTGTTCCTGTCATACAGTAGTAGAGTGATTTAACCTGGTAGGAAAAAAAACATTTCTGGAAGTACTTACAGATAAGAAGTTGTATTATGTCTATGTTTTAAAATGTGTCTGATAACACAATTATAAACTATCTGGAACTACCACAGGAAAGTGTCACAATTTTATTAAACATCTGGCTCCTTCTTGAGTAATGAGTCTGTTAATGTCAAAATGACACGGCAGAAGGAACTTGGAGAAGAAACTCAGTGCTATAAATAGTTTAAAATTGTGTCTGGATGTGGCAAATATGTGAAGAACAATAATTTGTGTTGAAAATGTAAGACTAAAATAGGAACTACTTTGGATCCAGATATTAGAAATTTTAAGTTTAAGTTACAAGTTGTTTATTTGTCATACAACACAAGGTTGTATCACAAAAAGACAGTTTGCAGTCCCTTCATGCTACACACGTAGAACTTAACATATTAAGTGTATATTAAAATAAGGTAACATATATAATAACATATCATAAAACAATATATACACTTATTTATATACATATATACATACATATATATACGCAGAACACTTTGCAGTGCATTTTTTGAATTTGTGTCTGTTGTTAGTTGACTGCTCCACTGACGACGCGCTCACGGTGACACTGTTGCACGTTGAGCTTAACTTCCACTTCAAGTTTGGCGGTGGAGAGTGCCGAAGATGCGTTGTTCACGTGTACACATTTTCATGCAGAATGGCGCCGCCATTAAAACACAGAAGTACAACACTAAACATGAATTAAAGCACAGGACTAAGAACTACGGTGAGAGACAAGACAGTTACTAAGAAAACTTAAAGCGAATGAACAAAATAATAAACTAGACTACAAAACTCCAAACCATGACAATATCAAATAAACACAGGAAAAAAACAACAGCACAAAACCAAATCCTTACAGTCTAACCATCATTTCAAATTTTCCCCGTACAGTTACTGTGCTGTCACAGCAAAATTTTTGCATTGTGTGCCAGACAGACAATAATTGTAAAACATTGTAACCACAACTTAACAAGACCAGGCTTCCACTGCCAACTCCTCGCATTTTGTCCAGAGACAGTTAAGAGAGTATTTTCATGTTTCATCGTGTCCTCAAATGATTGACTTTGCATTGACATGACTTCATTTTCACAACCCTGTGAGAGGTGTTAAATTAGTCTTGCAGTTACAAACTTGAATTTTGAATAAACATGTACTGGAATAACCTCTAAAACCTTAACATATACGCTCCCCTCAAGTAGATTTTAAGCCAGTAAACAAAACTAGATATGCTCAGGGAGATATTATTTATACATTCTTAGATTACACAAGTAACATGCATCATAGCTACTCCATAACAGTAAATGCAGTATCTAAAAACCTACAGACTCAGTAATGCTCAATATACTTTTATATTTATATTTGTATACTTTTATCTTCCAGAAAGTCATAGGCTTTACTGTTTCTAACCCCTCTTAACATGTTTGGAGCCCTCTGCACAGGCCCCTTATCTGAAGTTGGGAACCTCTGTCCACAATAGGAGAGCAACCTCAGGCCACCTTCTTGTTTTGTTTCAAACATCTATTCATAGATTACAGGCCTTGAGTCAGAAGACAGGAAGGATAATAGTGAATTATACACAACTGGCTGGGGGTTAGTGTGTGTGTGAGTGTGAGAGAAAGAGAGAGAGAGAGAGAGAGACACACACAGAAACAGAGGGAATGCAGGGTCTGCCAGCTTGCTTTTGTGCGGATGAATAGCTAATTCCCCTCCTACTTTAAGACTTGGCAGCTTACCTCATTAAGTAAGACTCTATGGGGAGACAGAAAATGAGCACTGGCCTTCACATGCGCATACACTGCACATTTGATTGCATGCCTGTTCCATCTCCTTTTATCCTCTGTCCTTCTACCAATATTTCATACACAGCATCTCTGCATTTTTCCCCGTTTCTTCCTATTTCTTTGCCATCTCTCAGGCCTCCTTGCTTCCACTTGTGCTCCTCTGTCTCTCTCTCTCACTCTCACTCTCTTTCTCTCTCTCTCTCTCACTTTCCCCTTCCCCTTTATGTTTTTCCGGCTCTGAGGTAATGTGTTATAAGTGCAGACTTAATGGCATTTAATGTTGGATGAACCGTGGCAACTGAAATAGCGCCGATAAATAGTCGCTGCGAGTTGTTATGCTGACAGCGTTAAAATAATGAGTTGCATTAAGTGGCAGTTTAGGACTTCTTAAGTGTTGTTAAACTTTAATTTAATTTCAAGATTTTTACCTGCATGGTTTTATATGTCAATTAGAGAGTGGTGAAAAAAGAGAGTAAAAAAGGAAAGCAGAGGGTGAGAGGGAGCGGGGAAGTGAATGAATGGGTGCGAAAGAGAAATAAGATGCAAATTAAAGAAAAACAGTGAATCTCACTGGTCCTCTCGACCATTAAAGAGTATAAGAACATTCAAATGTAATACCATCTCAATTTCACAACCCATCTATTTCTGCAACACGTTCTCCAGCTCATCCTCTTAACGCCTTGACAATCTTTTTAGCACATACAAAATGATGTAGGGGTTCTCAGGGGAGACATGCAGACACACAGGGGGAATAAAAGAGGACCCAGATCAGTTCTTGTAGAGCAGTGCTCTTTACCGTAGGTCTGAGCACACAGGTGTAACTTTGCTCACACACCTTTAGTGTGTCCATTTGCTTCAAATTTTTTTGCTTCATCTCATTTGTGCCAGTATGTATTTATGTATATATGAATGGCCTCTAATGCGTATGTTCCGTGTGTGTGTGTGTGTGTGTGTGTGTGTGTGTGTGTGACAGGCATGGTTTCATGACTCATTGCCTGGCTGTGAAATCCCTGTTTACGCTTCTTAATTTAGTTTCATTCTCCCTGCAGGTGGTTTCCCCTGTGTTGACAGGCCCTTCTTGTTTCATCAAGTTGTCCTTACACCCTTTTTCTACACCACAACCTCCACACCTAGGGCTTCTTATATGTGTTTTATAATTTGTAAGAGCTAATTAATATGTGATAATTTTACCTTTTTGCAACAAGACAGCTTTACTAAGCCTTCTGTGATGCTCATTTCAGAAACTTTCTTTTATTTGCCAGACTTAGGTAGCTCAGGTTGTCTGGCAGGTTGTCACAATTAATGCATTAGTCTTCTCTCTTACATATGCATTTATAGGGATATCATATAAATATCATGCTGGATTCACATTTACTTAATTTAGTCAAATTTGTGTGAAAAAAAGCAACTGCAGATATGTTCACATATTTTAGGAATATTTTAAATAGGAGAGGGGGAAATTTAAGTTATGTGTCCTCTACTGAAAAATATATTAACATCAGACAACACAAAACAGGGGGACAGTTAGCTTCACTGTATAAAATGTATGTAAAAGAATGACAGCTGCTTGAAAATAAAAAGTCTACAGTGGCCAATAATAAATTTGACATCTTTTCATTTTATGAACAAAGAGGGCGAAGGAAGTTATGAGTGAGTAGTCATTAAACTTGAACTTGATGTTCAGTGAACATCTCTTCCTCATTCCCTGATGGTGTGTTCAAACAGAAAGCAAGTGAATTTTCTTAACAGAAAGAGCACTACCATGCCAGAATATACATATGTGTTTCTTTTAATCCTAAATTTCTTAAGTTTGTTTTCTTCATCATTGTAGCTTTTTTCTCCCTTTTCACACCACACGTATCTCAACAGTTCCACCTCAGTTCTATATCGACCACTCCTCTGCCGGCAGCTATGGAGTTGTGTATCTTGTGGATTCAGATCAAAACTACACCCAGGTTCTTTCTGCACTAAGACACAGTCACACAGTCACACAAACACTCCTGTGCAAACACACCCTATTATCATATATATGAGAAATTAGATATATTCATGATGAATTAGAGTTGTACATTAAATCAAATGTATGAATAATTTATGTACATAATCAACCCACCTATGCAGATATACTCGTATAATATAATGCACAAGGCCAAAAAGAGAGCACATAGGCCTATGCAAGCATAGATACTCAAACGCATGAACACAGTGCATATATGCATTGATGATGACTTGTTCACATATACACACCTTATATCAGTGAACTGGTGGTCATGAAAGAGATCTATTAATAGTGGATAATAGAAACATTAACCTCACACTCCTAGTGTTTGAAGCGGCCACCTCCTCTCACGCTGTCAGTCCAGATTTCTCTCACACACGTCACTGTGTTTCTGTCTCATGGCTGCTCCTTCGCTCTCACTCTCTTTCACACTTTCTTTGTCTTGTTGTTTCTTTGTTGACAGTCTGATGGAGACTCAGCTGAAAACACTGTCTAGGTTCCTGAAAGCGTGTGGTACATGCGTACACGCACGCACACACACATACACACACAGACATGTCAGTAGAGGTATATGGACTTCCATATCAGTCTATCATCCAACCACCTCGCCGCCTCTTTACATATGTCACTCACTCCGGTCACTTTGACTGTCTCCTTCTGTTGGTCCCTTTTCCGTATGCTGTATATCTTTCTCAATCGCTTTTCCTGTCACACGCAAACACACACACACACACACACACACACACACATTATTTCCACTGACTTTGTGAGGGAGGCAGACAGAGGCAGGAACACTGTTACCTGCATTTGGTGCAGCTGACTTCACACTATGGTCACACTTCAGCACTTCATTGATGCAGTGTGTTTCCGGGTCCACTTGGTGCGTAATGATTTTCGTCTGGTTAATTTTTCCTGGCATCTATCTGCCACACACTGTAAAAGGACCAAAACAAGTGTGTGTGCGCGTGTGTACGCAGATCCTGTCCACTCATAAAGAAAGCACATTCCACTTCCTTCTGAAGTTCAGACTCCTCAGCATTATTAACTCATCTCTCCCTGCTAACACACACTCTATGCATATTACATGAGCATAGCTTTTCTTTCCTGATGTATTTCACATAATTATGCATATGCTGTGTGAGCAGTGTGTAAATGTTTATACGGATGAAAGTGAGCGTAAGGGGCACAATACATTTTACTATGTGACTGCTACCATTTAAAATAGTACACACTGTATAATAATACAGTAAGTATGTATTAGTTTATGTAGTCAGTTGGCAACTGAGGCAAATATCTCTTACAATGCCGATTTACTGGAAGCCTGCAGCACTACTGTACGTGTCAACAATGAAAAAATTGCTGAGCAGTACACTTTCAATGAAAGAACGACTCAGAACCTCCATATGTCACATTGCCACTTAGAAAAGCCAATCAGTTAGAAAATAAAAGCAGTATCAGTAGTTCTGTCTTGATCCAATAATGGGATTAGTACCACCACCTACAGCACAAGGGGTTAGTTTAGTGGCATCATCCAGTACACTCCACCTTGCTTCCTTTCACAACCTCTTTGCTGGTAATACACGTGGCCATTAAAACTTTTTCACTATGCTGTTGATGCACTGTCCATTCCAGCAGGGAAATATACCTCGTAATTTACTTCACGAGATGTATTTGACATATATGGTTAGATGTTACTTTACAGTTTAAGATTACAGATTTAAAAAATGTATGATAAGACTGTAATATACAAAATATTGTCAAGATCAATCCAGTGGTGGATCCCAACTATTTAGCTTGTGACCCTCTACAAAAAATAGTTTAGGCCTTTGCCAAGTTTCAGATGTCTGTGAGTTATTAGCAGTTCCATCAAAAAGACCTTTCCCCCCTAAACTTCTCAAATTTAACAAAAGAACAAAGACAAGATAAAAATTTCTCTCTTCCTAAAGGTGTCCATTTGGAGCTGCCTGACCCCTAGGTTGTGGTTGGGAATCACAAAATTTGCTACTTACACACTAATGAATCATCATTTACAATATAATAATGTCATGTATAATATCAGTCACACGGTGTCCCACTGTGACCTTTGCTGCAGAACGAGTATGTTAATACAATACTTGATACTTAAAGTATATTATTTTGAAAGCAGGAGTTTTATTTCTAATGAGGACAAGGTTAATAGTAGATTAACTGAACATTTCTAGATTACTCAAACTATAGTACCAACATCTTCTTATCCCAGGGCATCAAATACTGACGCTTTGAGGCTGACCATGTAACTACACCATCCTGCAAACCAACTTTTGATCAAAACCTTGGACAGTGGCTGCCTGAACCAGCAGCGTAACATGTGATTGGCCCTGGTGCAAATATTTTTTTTGTGCCCCTTACCCCAAAAAGTACTTTGGTGGACACCTGGGTGTAAGGTCTCAACAATGATTCCAACCTGCAGCCTTTGATCAGCACCAGGGACAGCAGCCAAAGTGGCAAAAGAAAATCTAACAGCCTGTCTTCCACTCACCTGCTGTCTCAGATTATCAAACGGCCGCAATAGCTTTAGCCAGCCTACAGTAACAAATAACACAAAGTAGCTGATACAGTATGTCACTAACCACAGAACAAATAGTAATAAAGAAAAGCACAGCAACTCATTATGCCTACACAGTGTGAATGAATGGATGACGGCATCTGTTCACGATCATTTGTCCCTGTCCCTCGTGAGTCCTTGTAATCAGCTGGGACCCTGAGCATTGCACTGGTTTGCACCATCAGTACGCCACTGCAACGTACCCTTCAGCGTCTGCGTGAAATGCCCTTTTAAGAGGTGGTTAACGTGAAATGATTGCAGTTTGTTAAGTCTGTGCACAAAAAATACTTGGCTAGGTTTAGGAAACGAAAAGTAAGTAACGTTATGTAAGTGAAGGGTACTTTGTGCGTCAAATATTATTATTTGATGCCCTGGGAATGAGAATGGGCTAATAGTACAAGCAAACAGGAGTCGCGTACAAAGCTCAGAACCTCAATGCCCTCTAATATTTACAGTATATGCTCACAACAGCATCATAAAAAAAAAGGATTTCAAGGAAAATTGGTAGTTAAAAATTACATAGGAGGATTATTTACAACTATTAATGTAAATTAGAGAGGAGGGCATATTGTTTATTGCGTGGAAATGTGGTTTATGTTTTAAAAAAATGAAATTTTGCCTGCCTGCCTGCATTCAACAATACTTGCTGTTGTGCAAGGATGTTCCATGACTGGCAAGAGAGGGTAAAAAGTTGGAGCAACTGAAATGGTAACAGCCAGACTGGCACTGAGACAAGACAATTTACCAACCATTAGTGGCGTAGGGCCTGGTGAGGAAGGACGAATTTGATTCCAAGTATGTTGTTGCAGGGATCTGGCTGTGGCTGCTATGTGGGACTCACACAATAATTGGAGTCATACCAGATTCTTTGCAACCTGAGCAGGAGTCACCATGGTCTTCACAATAGAAACGATCAGCTCAGTTTTGCTGAGTTTGATATTTGATGGTGAACAGATAGAAATCCAAATGGCAATAGGAGTGTCAGAGGACAGGAGGAAAAGCAAATATATGTGTATATATATACCGATATCTATATATAGTCGTAGCCAGTTTTCCTTAAGGTTTATAATATATAATATATATCTGACAAAACTGGAATGGACATATTGTTACATAAAACGTTTTTTATTTTGCTTCTTTTTTGGGTAATATTTATGTCTGTTAACTTTTATAGTCAACTTTTGTGGTTTTCAGGGCAGTAAATCAATCAACATATTAAGTCATAGGCGTAGATCATATAAATTTTCTAAATTTATAGTGCATATTATGTGCACAAACTTGTTATACTCAGATTGCTTACAGTGTAAGGGCTCTGTAGTGTAGACAGTTATCATACACACACACTTGCACACGTACAAATCACGCACATATATACACACACTACTGCTGCATGTATTAATGGCATGCTGTGGGTGTACTAAGGTGTTATGGTGGAGTGGGTGACCTAATGCATTAGATTGAGCTCACTGTCAGGTCTTTAAGTAGTTGGGATCAGAGGCAGATACACAGCTAATGGATCCTTCTCTCTGTGGGTGGAATAACACAACAATAGCTCTATTAAAAGTGGCACTAACAAAAACTTTCAAAAAAATGAGAAGACAACAATAGGCCCGTATTAACATCTTAACCATTTTCATTCCTGTAACATGCAGCTTTTGATGGCCTTCAAAGCATTTTGCAAGAAGAGATTGTAACAAATTATTCTTTTGACAGCTGCTTTACTTTGTTTTGGATGAAAGATGAGATTGAAAACATACGCAGTCCTAGATAGATACAAACCAAGTCCTGAGGTATGTTGACTGGCTACATGCCCAGAACATTCTGTATGCTGCTACCTAATTCCATTGACAATTAATGGAAATGTGAGAACCATTAACAGATGTTGGAAAATCTGTTGATATGATGATTAAAAGGTGTGTGGAGATATATTATTGTTGTTTCTACAACACAGATCAAATGTCTGTGGAACACTGAGGTTATGGGCATGCTTTAATCTAACTGCAGATGAGCAGTTGTTGCCAGGAAAACAGGAAAAATATGAGCAGATCTTCAACCCCCGAGTTTGACTTTGCTAGCCTGTTTACATAAAAATGTTGAGTGCATTATTAGTGTTGTACTGTGCGAGCAGTCAATATTGTAGTGAAAACCCTCCAGATGGGAGATGAGCTGGAGCTATGTGTTGACTTTTACCATTTGGTAAGAATCTGGCAGTGGTATAGATGAGGGTGATGAAAGTAGGGGAGGAAAAGAGAAAAGGTGGGAGGTATGCCTCATATGGACAGTAACGACACCTCCACATGTGCCTCTGTTTCTGCCTCTCACTCACATTTGCTGCGTTTTCTGGTGATCATCTGTTTTTGTGTGCTGTGTATTAGTCACACTTGTGCATTTTTGTGAGTATACTTCTTAACATGTTTGCATCATTCCTGTGTGTGTGTGTGTGTGTGTGTGTGTGTGTGTGTGTGTGTGTGTGTTCACCTGTACAAATCCAGAACAAGCAGAACCTACTGTCGAAGCAGATAGACCTCAAGGGTAAGGAGCCAGAGAAGGGTGTGTTGATGTCCTACACCATATCAGACCTGAGGATCCCTCTGTCCTATGAGGTCCGACTGGCCCCCATCACCACCTACAGCACTGGGGACTACATCAGTCGCATCATACAGTACTCAGAGCGTGAGTCTTCTTTAAAACCAGTTTCATCAAAGAAAATCTAAAGTCATTATCTTTCATATTCATTGATATACCATGTATAAAACATAGATAAGTGTATTGTGCATATCTGAGTGTTAATCATTACTATTTTCTTACAGCATACACCTACCCAAGACCTTCAGGTGAGACTTCTCTATTGCCATCCTCTGCTAGTCCACATTTCCACATTTCAGTGTTGCTGTTGTTAACTGACCGATGACAGGGTAGTCAAGTTAGGAAGGCACAATGAATTTTGGTGCAAGCTAATTTAGCTTGTATGATGCAAGCAATATCAGCACAAGTTTGTCAAGGCAAAGTTTGCCATGCTGCCTTTATTAAATCTTGTTGCTAAGGAGGAGAGTGGGTTAACAAATGATGGCTGGAAGCAGGTCTGTGACATTTAAAATGTCATCAAAGAGTGGCAAAGATTGGAGTATACGGGACTGGTTAATGCTTTTATATTATTGTAGATGGGCTAAATATTTGAAAGTCACTTGATCCAACCATATAAAAACTATGCTACACACCCCCTTAAATATGTGTATCCCTGCCTCTCATCCTCTCTCTTACCATCACTCTCTCTTTCTCAGTCAATTGCATCTTGTCTGTTTTCTTCATTAAGCGATATGCGACATTTTTCTGGCAGGAGTGGCAGTTGGCTCCGCTAGGGTGAGGCAATTAAAACAACAGCAGATTGGAACAGACTGCGAGAACAACAGTGCAAATTGAAAGGAGCGCATGTAGTGGAGCAGGGTGTGAATAGTAATAGATTAGCTCCCTGAAACAAAGAAACGCACGCAGGCCATCCGCGCAGGGAGTGCCAGCCATATGAATCTGCAGCAAACTGTGTGAGTGTCTGGGAAGACTTCACTGAATCTGTCAGCTTGGATGGTTTGTGATAGCTGTTGTTGTACTCGCGAGCTTCGATCTTCATTTGCTTGGCGAGTCTCTGATAATGGCAGATCCCTCCAGATGGACTAATGAAGGTGACAACCACAATAGAGAGAAGCCCCTCTATCAGGATTCTCTCACTGCTACTCTGTTTCTCATATATGCTCCTTAAAATGAAATAACTACAACTTCCATAAACTTCTCATACTAACACATGAATGGAAGCCCCCATTTCCCCATTTAAAGAAGGTACTTTTTTCTACATATAAGACTCTTCTTTAATCTTTATTTAGTTTGTCTTTTTTCTTATTATTATCATTAGTAGTAGCAGTATTTTTTAAGTATCGCAAGGTTCTTGATTCAGATCAGGTGGCCTGAGTATTTATACTGTGTAGTTTAGAGATCCAAGACAAAACTCATAGAAGGGTGGAACTAAGAGAACAAAGGAACAACTACAAATCCATCTGCCCCAGCACTCTTTTCGCTACTATGGGGTGGGATGGCATCCTCCCAGTCATATTGCCTACTGCTTATGTTTTTTTTTTACATTTGACATACCCTGACCTAATCATACTTACCTTTAACAGTTTTTGCATGTGGGAGTCTTATATCAGAATATGCATAATATGTGGGATCCACTTTAACTTTCACATTACCTATATACCCTGCCTCCTACATTGTGCCTATCACTTTGTCAGTAATTGCTTGGCAGTCTGATCCTCATATTTAAAGTGCATATGGCAGAGGTTATTATACAGCTAAATCGTTGGCATCAATTTCCTGGTAAAAGTGGGTGGAAAAAAAACAAGAAATGTCACCTGTAGTTTATGATGTCACCTGTCACTGATCATATGTGTTTTCCACTCTTGTTTTTTCTCCCCACACACACACACATCCCAGATCATGTGTGTGGTTTTGAGGATGAGCGGATCTGTGGTTTCTCTCAAGACCGGAGTGATGTCTTTGACTGGACCAGACAGAATCACCTGACGCAGAATCCCAAGCGATCTGCCAATACCGGCCCTGAGACTGACCGCAGTGGAACCAAGGAGGGTGAGGAAACTTAGTAATGAGTTTATGTACAGGTTCAGTTATGTGTATAGTAGTCGTAGTAGTGCAGCGACAGACCTGTATTTTTGCATTTGAGACTCTGGACAACAGAATGTTGTCTTGTTGGTTTACAGGGTACTACATGTACATTGAAGCGTCACGGCCACGTGTTCAGGGGGACAAGGCTCGTCTGCTCTCTCCACTTTTTAATGTGACTTCAGTCAGGGGGCCCAAGGGGTCAGGCAGAGTCCCATACTGTGTCTCCTTCTACTACCACATGAAGGGCAAACATATTGGTGAGTTGTACAGCAGAGAATAATGCACACACACATTGTCGTCTACCACATGCGAGCATCCATAGCACAATAACACACATGGATAAAAAGTAGAGAGCATGCTGACACTCTATACTAACCGGGTTCTCATATTGGTGGGCTCCTGTCAGCAGCTGAACTCTGTGCTTGACCCTCGCTTGCAGAGCTTGTCGGACACAACATCATAGGTGTGTGTGTGTGTGTGTGTGTGTATGAGTTTGTTAGAGAGTGGGAGAGACGGAGAGACAGAGACAGAGAGAAGAGCGGGTGTTAGCAAAGTTCTGTTTTAGCTTGTGACTTTGCTTGTGCGTGCGTTTGTGTGTGTTTGGAGGTGGCTGAAGGGGGCAGTGGGTGGGTGATTTATGGCAGTAGCAAGACACAATCAGTCATTTGGCGGAGCTGTTCATCATAATATGCTCTGTCACACAGCTAGAATGCATACAACTTGTAGCCTACACACCTGCACACACACACACACACACACACACAGACACACAAACACACACACACAGACATGGATCCCCACAAAAAACATATAGTAAAACTTGTGAATACATGAAGGAACACACACACATACACATTGTTGATTTATGTGTCCATAGCCCAAGGACCCAGGCTTCACTGTAACATTTGTAACATTCTGACCTGTGTATAGGAGGGCACAATATTTAAGTGTGCAAATGTGTACTCACCCAGATATGATTATTTAATAATGATCTAAATTTAACCGTATAAATGAGAGTGTAAAGTGTCTCATCAGTATTCAGTAATAAATCAAACAGTGAAAAGTTGAATATAACCATATCACTTGCAAGCAGGGAGTAATACTATTTAGTGAGGAGATTTACATAGACATAGAGTTGCACAAATTTGGAAATGCACCCACATATATGCACAGAACCCTAAACACACACAAAAGCATGCTAATGTCCAGCTCGGTCTCTGATACTATGTTTGGCCCCGGACCATCCATGACGGGCCTCAAAACCTCTTCCCAGCAGTCCAAAGTGCCTGTGCTAGAGGTGTAAACATCAGCACTCCCCAGTGCCTCGAACTCCCAGTGCAGGTAGACTCAGCAAGCAATAGGACTTCTAGCTGCATGGCTAACTCTGCTAACTAGTTAACTGCAGCCACAGGTATGCCTGGTGCACATTAGAGGATTCTTCAATCTTAACCGATTTTGAAAATGTGGGATGCCACAGACATAACGATTAATTAACCAATTTTTTATGTTTTGATCTTAAGAACCCACATACCAGAGGATTCAGTCAAGACGTGGGACCACACACTTTTATTTTTCGTTTATACTAAATGATTTCAGAGTGGCGACCCAGGGGACTTGGGATCTCCCAGAAATTCTCGTAATCAAACGTGACTTTAGAAATAAACAAACATGGAGACACACTGTCGTCGTCAGCTAGTTGTGTGTGCAATGTTTTGCACAGAAAAACAGAAAAAAGAGAATAAAACTGTGTATGAACAACACTTTGATGACTGCCTCGGATCGGGGCTGCCCCCGCAATTGTCCGGAGGGGCCAATTGGACCAGAAATTGGCTCAAGAGTGTGGCCAGCATTAGTAAGATTTAGTAGTTATTCTGGTGCTATGCTGCCCCAATTTCATTCGTTTAGGAATTTGACTGGTGGCCAGTTCTTACATATTGTACCCTTTTAAAGTTGAGTTAATATTGGATTTTGATTCATCAGACAGCCAAAAACATGTCTCTAAATGGATACTCATTCTGCTGTGCTCCTGCTGAATGTGTAAGTAGGCAGTTGTAACATGCTAGAAATTAGCACTTGATGGACCAATACTATAGTTTGATGTGAGTTCTTATCCCCCCAGTGGTGAAAAATCAATGTTTGTTGCTTCAAAATTAAGACAATATTACTACTTTCCTTACATACTTCTGGTTAGCTATTACTTTTCAAATTATTTGGTTAAATGGTTATCTAACCTTTGGTATACTACAGACACAGAGAGTTTAGTTCCTATGCTCCTTCTCTCTTCTGTCTATCTTCTCTTACAACAGATTTCTACATGTTACAATTGCATTTTATGAGTAATCTGTAGTGGATAACAATAGCACTTACTTAAGCATTTTTATTGCGCATTTTGCTCAAAGAACTTGTTGGTTTTTCACATCAAAGCAATGGGACAAGACAATGCTACATCAGTCACACACTGCTTGCTCACGATTAGTACATAATGTTACCAGCTACGCCCAGCTCTGCTACAAGCCCTCCTTCAATTTACTCTGTTGTTCTTCCAGTCTGTTCCAATCTGTTGTCACTTTAATTGCCTTACCTTGGCAGAGCTCACACTCCTGCCAGGGAGACACAGTGTGACTCTTAATGACGAAAAGAGACAAGATGAGAATAAGACAGAGGGGGTCAGTGAGAGGAGAGAAGAGACGAGGAGAGGATGGGGGTCGGCCAGCCTTGGCAAGAAGAAAGGAGGGTTAATGAAGAGCATGAGAGAGCGAAGAGAATGGTAGGAAAAAGAGACAGACTGAGAAAAATGAAGTGCGACAAGAAAGGATGCGCAAACAAACAAGTATGAAGAGGCTTAGAAGGGAGGTAAAAAAGAATAGGAGAGCTGCAGGAGAGGTCATGAACTTGTTAATGTTCAGAGGTAGTGAGGGGATGCAAGAGGTAGTGCTTTATTCTGAAGTACTTTAGTTTTAATGTAATCCACTGTATAGCGTAAAAGTACTGCAAAGTGTTAAAAGGGCTGAATATTTTGGAAGGCTTTAGGTACTCTGACACAAAGCAATTTTTAGAATTGCTGTTGAAATGTTCTTTTCTAACCCACATATATGCCAGCACTTTGTAACCATAAGGTTATGTGAATATGAACCAGGTAAAAGTCTCTTTTGAGGATTTTGCAAAATGAGGAACAAAAGCATAATGCCCTTTGAGTAGTTTGGATTTTAGGTATGAAATAGGCCGGCGCTGCAAATAAAGACCTCCCATGTGATGTGTGTTGCGGTTCACCTTAATGTGTCTCTCTTTGGGCTTGCTGGCAGCAACAATAAACAACATTTAATTAGTTTTGTTTGGCATTGAATAGTATTTTAGACTGGCTCAGTTTTGCAGAGTGCTACTGGCAAGCTTTCTTGAAATCACTGGATTATTTTCAGTTCATAGTGATGGAAAACAAATTAGGGTTTGAGGTTATTTAAATGTTGTACCTCTTGTATGTTGTTTTGGATTACCGTTTTATGAAGACTTTTAATTAGTTTGCTGTGTGAATATTTACAGGTGTGGAAGAGGAATATGACGATATACCTAATCTTCCCGTTACCTTTTCTAGACACTACTTACTGTTTTAAAATTGTCCTTCTTTAACTTTTTAGGTTTAGACTCTCATTTTCAGGAAAATGTTATGATCAGCTTGTTGTCTAGCAACATTTGAATAAAAAAGGATTTAGCTAAGCCTAGTTTTATCATTTTTCTCATGCTCCTGAATTGGTTATTTACTCAGAAGGTTTTGTAACACGCTTCGGCTTGGTGTTGTGACAGAAGCCTCACCACGGACTATAATTGTTTAGCATTGATTTGGCTCTGAAGCTAACTAGCAGTAGAAGCTCAGACAAACAGAACATGAACCCTATTTAGGCGTAGATAAGGGACAGAGGGAGGAAAGAAGCAAAGGGGGCCCCCAATTATCAAAAGATAATATAAATAACGATAATTTGTAAATTGACTTTTTATAGAGCGCTTTTCTGGTTACAACACTTGTCACATTCACACAGTGAAAGCATGCCAGGTGCTTATCAAGAGTAATACAGTTTCCTATCCAAAGTGCTCATGATGACAGTACGCTTATCCATACACACACTCACACACCGACTGCACAGTCATCGGGAGCATTTTGGGTTTCAGTATCAAACCCACTGAATCTTCAACTGGACTGGGGAAGCCAGGAATCGAACCTGCCCTCTGATTACTAGCCCACTCAACCACTTGTGCCATAGCCGCCCTGTATCTACATTTACATTTATTCATTTAGCTGACACTTTTAACCAAAGCGACTTACAATTGCTATACATGTCAGAGGTCGCACGCCTCTGGAGCAACTAGGCCATGTCTTGCTCAGGGACACAATGGTGGATGGGTCACACCACCACCTATCTCAAAGATAGAGTTCAAGTATAGCAGTGTGTGTGTACTGCTGTCTGTGCTTGTGGTTGTGTGTCTCTGCTGTCCTCCTCACTCATGATTCTACGGACAAGTAGCCCTGATAGAGCTGTGCCTTCTCCTTTGCCTCTCTGACACTTACTAACACCCTCTGCTTTACCTCAGTCCACTCAGTAGACTGCTTATCAGAGTCCTCTTTTCTCTTCTCTCTGTTGTATGCGTATGCGTGTGTGTGTGTGTGTGTGTGTGTGTGTGTGTGTGTAGGCAGTGATGGTGAGGGTGCAACAGAGATACGAGAGAGAGAGAGATAGGTGGTCAGTGAGGAGGGAGACAATGAAGCACAGATATGTGGAGGTAGAATGAGAGAGTGGGCTGAGCAGGTGAAAGTGGGTTACACCAGAATTAGTGAGTGTTTCTCTCCGTTGTGTAACTACGGGCTGTCCATGTCCTTTCTAAGTTAAAGCTATGCTAGGTAATATATTTCAGAAGTATTTTTGTTTAAATTCTGTTAACATCCCGACAGCAATCAATTAATGCAAATGGTCTAAAAAAAGTAATAAATATGATATCTGTTGCTGGCCTGTTATAAGCCCAGCCAAACATACTGTATCATACCTACCTGCCTGTCTAACTACCTACCTGCCTACCCATGCATACCACTGCATATGTAAAGTTTTGTTAGACAGAGGCCTGAAGGGAGAGGGCAGGATACTTTCATAATCTAGCTGTCTCTCTAGCTGTAACTGTTGCATGTGACTGTCTAATGTGACTATTCCGGCTGCAGTATCACTACATCATTTTCACCGTGAGCATTCTGCTGTCCGTACCTGCATGGAGCATGATCCAAACTGTAGAACACTATACAACTCGATCCTGCTGTTAAAGCAATAGTTATGAAACACTTCAGCCATTCGGAACTTGATCATGTGAACTAGTCAACGACACATATATGAGGCTTGCTGGGGCATCGCAGACGCCAGACAGATCTCTGGCATACTAAATATCTAGAGCTGTCAGCAATTCCACATCCAGCCAATGAGAGTAGGCAGATAGCAGAGCAAGGAGCTACGTTTTCATTAAAAAATCTTTTAATTTTTTTTAATCACCTTGAACTCTCTCTGTAGCACAGCCAATCCCTGCTGCCTGGTGTGCTAATCCATTCTTTCACCCATAGTCTTTGGCTTTTCCTTTTTCGTGTTTTATAGGTATTTAAAAAAACTATATCAAATAAAAAACTCCTGTTTCTCATGTGTTTTGGCGTCATTTTCCCTGTCACTTCTCATGTGTGTTTTCTTGACAAAATGTGGTTTGGAGACCAGATAGAGTCGTCGGGTGACAGACTCGTTGCCAGCTCGTGTAGTGTGTGACACCCTTTCGCCAATCAGTCATGTACTGTCAACACCACAACGACTTTAAGACTCCCGATTACAATACAGCAAGTAATGCAGTTTTAACAGTACAGTGATTTGCCACCGTTGAAAGCTGTGCAGTCTGCAATAGGCACTAGCGTAAAGACTAGAAACAGCTTGAGTGGGTTTGTACAAAAGTAACCAAATCTGTTTTAATTATGTTTATTATCAGAGTTTAAAGTAATAATTGAGATTTTGCTTGCCACCGCCTCTTTTTCTGTACCACATACGGGCAACCTCAACATGTTTTTTAGCTTCCCTGTTTGCCCCCATAAACAGTAAGCTTTCCTTAGTCACACCTCTCTTATGACAGAGTAGGAAGTTAATTACTGCCAGCCTGACAGAATGACAAGCATTTGTGCACAAAGGCAAACATACATTTATGTGAAAACCTGTACTTTATGTGCACACACATATTTATAATATATAATACTGAGATACTGTGCCCCCTGCCTGCGTATTTGTTTAAGAGACTGGTGGTTGGTTAATGTTCCAATTAGGAGCTGGCTGGGGACCATTAAGAAGATGAATGATTCTCTCACACCTTAGAGACCTGAGAGATGGAGAGAGAGAGGGAAAGAGAGAGAGATTCAAGTTTCAGGACAATTGATTTTTATGTCATGTTTCCACAGTAGTTACAATTTTTTTTAGGATTTAAACCAAACATCATGTGGCAGTGAAGTGTATACTGGAAACAAAATGAACCTCTCACTCCTTTCTCTCATTACCTCCGTCGGACTTTCTCTCTTCCTTCCTTGCAAAAAGGACAGCAGCCTTTTGCTCCATTACTGTCAGTGTAATATAAAACTATCTATTGGACTGTCAATGTAGAGCTCAAGACATGTCACCACACATCCATACATTTCATTTTCACCTAAATGTCATCCACATACAGTATCTGAACTCAAAGCTTCACCCTAGTATATATATTGTAGAGTGCAATGCATTGTACCCCTACCGCATTACTATTGTTATACCTTGGACCTTGTATACCTTGTTCTCGCCCTCTCTCCCTCTGTGTCTCTCCCACAAAAAAAAAATGGGGATTATAATGATGTTGGTAATTTCATAGCAGCTAGATATTTGGTGATGTTGGGTGACTAAATATATGCCAGTGATAATCAGTCTGACCTAGGAATGTCTTAAGAACCGATACTTCAGTAAACATAGCTCGTGGTAGTAGGCTGCCATCTTTACCTCTTACCAGTCTGTGTCATCTGTCATAATGTTGTTAGCGTTGTAACTAAATATTTCTGGACTAATGGTCTGTCACAATGTTAGTAAATTTAAACTACAGCATGCACTCTGAGTAGAGGTGTGTGTGAGTGTGTTTGTGTGTGTGTAGCCTCTGCTGGGGGTTTTGTTTGTTTTTTTACAGTTAGTGAGCTATACTTTTTGATTGTTTTGTTTTTGTTTATAACATGGTATGAAATCAAGAATTGTAAAATTTTGTATCGACTACTAAATTTCTGGTATCGTGAGATACTAGACTGAACAGAAATTGCTCCTTTTTGAATCATCTCAACGGTGTAGACACAACTCAGATTATAGCCAATTGTTTTAGTGCTCCTACTGTATTTATTCAGTTTTTCGATATGTGCTCCCTTCTCACTGTCAAGACTAAAACATATGTCAGTGTTGGTGGAAATAAGATATTATGTGTGTGTCATTTTGTTTAAATTTTTTCACCTTTATATTAAAGTCTGCTCCCAGCTTAACATATTGCTCTTCAGTAGTTCAGTTCACTGACTTTTTCTAATGGTTTGTACTGCCTGCCTGTGTGGCTGTGTGTGCATACTTTTCACAGGCACTCTCAATGTGCTTCTGAGAGTGAGAAGCATCGCCTCTGTGGACTCTGTGGTGTGGACGAAGTCTGGCCATCAGGGCCCGGATTGGAAAAAAGCACTGTTTGACATCAGCCCCAGTGGACCCTTCCAGGTAATGGCTTGGCGATTACTTTAATTACCCCCCAAAGAACAATATAGCAGTGAAGAACGTTTACAACTTGTGCTCTTAAACCAGCAGTACATTGTTTCAGAATATGTCTGCCATTACAGAAAAAGTTGAGTACAACAGACCAGAGGATGTCACCTAAGACCATGTTTCTTAAATGCAGTTACAATACTTCCCACGCCCATGCAGCCACACTAAGCACCCCAAACGTGTTGCATGCAGAGACATAACTTGACCTAAAGTATGACCCGGTCATCTATTGGGAGGAAACATGTAGTGTGCTCTGTCTTTGTTTGATGTTGAAAGAACTCATCCTCTGAATTTAAATCAGCCTCAAGGACTCACCTCTTGAGGGTTAATTTCTGACACCGTGCTGACAACATTGTAAGACCTGCTCTGGCTAGCTCTAAGAAGAAGGAAAAAATGGAATTGTGTGCTTTTATGTTCACTGTATTCCTTTTTTCCTGCCATCTCTCTCTGAGACATTTCCTCCACTGAAGCCATTTTCTCTCTACTGTGTCTTTCCCCAAGAGGACAGCCTCCACTGCAGCCTAGATAGAGCAGGGGATTTTGTATTCTGCTGGCTGTTGGGAATCAAAGGAATTCCACAAAGAATTGGGCTTGAAACTCTGCTCGGAATTTGATTCATTTCTTTACAAGAAAATTATCCACAGTGACATTAAAAGCTCCAAAGAACCAGAGTTAGTCAACTGAGTTAACACATGTCAGAGTTATATCCATATCCAAAATCTCTTTTCTGTTACTTGGTGGAGGCAAAATATCAACAGGTATTAGAAACAAAGTGAAGGTTATTAGCAGCGGGGTTGTTGGAAAACATCTGTTCTGATAGTGCCCCTGCCAGGATCTGAGCCACTGCAGCTGATCATAGTCTCAGAAAGTAATCAATGAGAGAGTTTGCCCACTGGATTCAATATGGTATCACATTATTATTTATGAATCCACACAAATGTGTGCAAAAGTAGTACTAATGAAGGCAATGAAAAATATGATAAAGATAAATTAAGCCCAAGCCATTAGACTAAGGTGTATTTTTCATGTATTAAAAAAATGTGGGTAGAGCATTTTCACATTTTTGGGGAATATTGATGAATGACAGCCTTTGAGTGAACATTCAGCTCATTTTCTGCTGAATGTCAGCAGCAAGCCTATCCACACAGTAACCAGAGGATTATTCGCTTCATCAAGAATGTGCTACTGTCAGGGTGGAGAACAAGTTTTCACAACGATTTGAAAGAAATAGCATGCATATGAGAAAGATAATAAGAAAAACAAAATAACTTGTTAAATTAGCAGTGCGGCGACCTGATAGAGTGGTATTGATGCTTAAACTGGCAATACGAAAGGGATTCTGATGAATAATCTGAATAAAATGCAGTTTTTTAGTCCCTCTCATAAAAAACAACAAAATTACAATAATATTATTAGCATTTTCTGAAAAGAATGTTGTGATGTATCCAAACTTAACAGGGTATTAAATTGCCATTTAAGAAGTGATGTGTCACCTGACAAAAACAGGAATGATCCCAATCATTTCTACTCACAAAGGTAAATAGGTTTATGTGAGAATAATAGGAGGCTTACACCTGGGCCAATTCTAGTCCTGTCATATTTGATTTGCTGTTCAATGGATATTCACTTACTAATGTCCGTCCCTTCAAAACTAGCTTGTACTTGATTAGCAATTGATTTTAAAATATTTCTAATGTCTAAAAATCTGACCAAGCTCAAATTATGCTCAAGGGACATACAGCCTTCGCTAGTTTGAGCTGTACAAAATTTTTTCCTTGTTTAAATTCACCCGAAGTTGAAAGTTTACTGGACACATTCAGTCAATAGTGGGAGAAAATAGTCTGAGAGACATAACAGAGGAAGCGCCTGTGTTTGAGGACTGTCTGTTGACACATCATCGAGGTCCCATCGGCTCTTTGGCAGCTGCGCTTGCAGTTAGCTCTTCCCTGTAGGGATATGGCCGAGTAAACTTTATGACTCAGTCCTCCTTTCTGACTGGACATGATGTTTCCTCTTCCTCTTTTTTCACTCACTATGTCCATTTGTGAGTGTGTGTGTATTTGTGTGGACCTTGGTAAGAATACAACCCAGCACAGAGAAGGCAAAAAAAGTGAGGGCAAAAAATGATGTTGTTTTTTGTTTTGTGTGCCTCTATCCTCCTCTTTGTGTTTGTGGGGTTTTTTGTCTTTTTCTCTCTGCTTATCTTTATCTCTGGCCCTGTGCTGGGACAGGTGGACCAGTTGTGTCGATTCTTGCCCTGGTCCGCTTCACGACCGCCGTCTCAAGGCTGATGACTAATGGCTCTAAAATCAACAAACTCAGGAAAGAGAGTCTTCAACTGTTCATACTCTCAACCCGACACTCTCTCCATATACCTGCGTTATCTTTACACACAAACATTTACATGCGTAAACACTGTGCTAGATTCAGACACATGCACACATACAGACAAAACCTTTTTTTAAAAACACACACACACACACACACACACACACACACACACCAGTCTCCTATCCCCCGCAGCAATTAGCTATGACAGGTCAATTAACAGGCTTATTTATGAGCAGGGGATGCCTGCTAGTTGTGTTGTAATGATTCCAGATACTCTCTGTACGTGCATGAGGGAAATTGAATCCATGATGAATGTGGGCTGAAGGCCTTAGCTGGGGGCTGCATTTGCTCTTCATTAACTATGCCTCTGCAACACCATGTTTCTTTCACTATTAAAGGGGAAATTAAGTCAGAAACAGTCGGCATACTGTATGTTTTAGGGCTCCTCTGTGATGTTGGACAGTGCAAATTTTATCACATTTGGATGTTAACAAGTCCTATAGACAAAAGTTTTAAACTGCTGCACACACACACACCTACACCCACACACATAATTAGTTTACAGTACTTTCCTTATGTGGCTACCTTGGTGTCATCTCTTATGTAACCATTCACACTTCCTGGTCCATTCTCATTTGTTCAGTACACTTTGTGGCAGAGAAAGCCAACAGGTTGGTCATGTGGCACCCTTTTGCCAGATCTCATTTTTTTTCCACATGATCAGATAAAGCCAACACACCAAGCCTCTATCAATTTAGTTCAAATTCTAAATTTTTCAGTTGTTTAATATTAACCAATACCTAGTATTGTTCAGCACATGATATGTTTGCTATAAAATAAGAGAATAGCCATTAGTACAATATGATGCACGCCAAAGGGTGGAAGGAACATTCAGTAACTATCACAAAAAGTCACATCTTACGAACATCAGACTCTGTTGGGTTTTTTTATTATTATTTTCTTCATTATAAGCCACCACTAATGTTTTATGAGGGGAGTGTCAAAAAACATTATACTCTTATATTACTGATATACTGAATGTGTTCGCATGATGCCCTCAATTTAATTCAGTATTCAAATTCATTATGACAATATTCCAACAAACTAATTCTCAAGGGATTAAAATCAAGATACATAAATTACAACTGCAGGATTTTAGCTGGTAGAATTCATCCTGTCATATCTGTACATCCAGTGTGTTAACAGCATTTATTTATATCCCCACAATACGGCAGCCTGAGGTGTTTATATGTTTCAGGATGTGTCTGTGAGTGTTAGTGTGTGTGTGTGTGTGTGTGTGTGTGTGTGTGTGTGTGTGTGTGTGTGTGTGTGTGTCAGTGAAAGGGTGAAATGCAGGTTAAGGACCAAATGGGAAAAATGTGGATCTGAAGGTATAACCTCTCATAGCTAAAAACAGAATCTACCCACTCAACACACCACAGGGACATACAACGTGTGCTGACAGACACACACGTCACAGATGAAAATACCACTCACACACAACTAACATACAGTGTATATACACACTGTGCCAGAGTGAGTGTGTGACACCAAGAGTCAGACACCAGGGAGAGCCTTGTTTCTTCCAGACTGTGCCTATGCAGTGTAAAAGCAGGCGGCTTAATTGGTCCAGACACCATCACCTGCTGGTAACAGATATGATTTTTACAGTCAAGAAGATGACAGGGGAACCATGTATATGTGTTTGTGAGCATAGCAGGAGGGGTTTTAAAAACATGCAAAGAGGGTGTGTGAACAAGAGGGAATGAGACATGTGAATGTGTGTTTGTTTAATCAATAAAGCACTTACTGCATCTTAAATATTCATCCCTCCCATTTGTATCGTGACTCAGGCAAAGGTAGGCGAGGCAGGATGGATGAATGAGGAAGGATTCATGCAAGAGAGGGATCGTCTCCTTGGCAACTGAAGGTTGCCTCATATATGTATATGACTATTTTTCTCTTGTCCCGCTCTTCCTTGTGTGGTCTTTCTCATATGCGCATGCATATACTGGACTGTATCTACTGTACATTTTGTCCATCACATGGGTGTATGAGTTTGGATTTATATGGCCTTACTGCTCTCTCACATTTGTGCATGTGTACGTTTGTCCAATCCATCACATGTTTGTGTGCTTGTCCTTGACCAAGTATGTCCTGGAAATTTGTCCACTACATTAAGTAATATCTGCTTTGGAAAAAAATGTCATGTATAGGTCATCACAGGATTATCACAGGATCTGTCTCTGGCTGAACACTTGCTAATCAGTGAAATCTGCTGCTGCAGTCTGGTTAGAGGGACAACCTGTGTTGTTTGTCTTGTAGTGGTGGCATAATGTTGAAAACCAGTGACAGTCGTGCAGAAATCACACTGTTAAAAAGTGGAGGCTCAGCAGGCCAAGAGAATAGTTTGCACAGATTTGGTTAAGGATTTCTGTCACAACATACTTTTAACCTCTTTGTTTTTTTCTGTCAACCCACACAACCTAAGATCTTCACCACCCTTAACCTTTATGATATAATGGCAAAAAATATATCTTACCAAGTTGACGCAGCTGTTTGTATCCAATGTCGTGAATTAAAGCAAGATCCATTAAATCATTTAAATTCAGGTTGCATGACTT